GTCCCCTTCTAGGGGACCTGTTCCCGAAAAGAGTTCACTGCCTATGAGGGACCTCATGTCAAGGTCCTGCTCGTCCCCAAAGAGGGAAGGGTCCCCGGGTTCTTGGGCCTCCATTCCCTCCATCTCCAAAGGTAAGGTTAAGTCCTCTTGGGGAGTTGCCTGACCATGCGAGGCCGCTGATCCTAGGGCCTCGGGGGCCGCGGGCTGAGGAGCCGGACCGGCCATCTGCTGCATCTGTTGCGCTACCCTTTGCCGGATGGCCAGCTCCATAGCCTGCATTAGGTTTTCGGGTATTTCCGCCATGGGGAGAGACTCCTCCGGGCGCAGTTCTACAGCAGTGGTGGGCAAGGTGACCTCAGGGGCCTGTCCAGGCTGTGGGGGAGAAGCAGAAGCAGGAGGGGAGGGGAGAGGAGGATGGGTGGAGGTTGATGGAACGGAAGGGTCCCGGGGCACAGAGCTTGACTCCTGAGAGCGTCTGTCAATTTCCCTTTCGAGGGCCCTGTGTCGCCTGAGGGCATCCCTTTGGGAAGCTTTGGATGGTTCCTGTGCCTGTTTGCGCAGGTGGTGGGATTTGGCCTTGGCCTTCAGAGAAGTGCCACGAGAGGTATTGTCGTCTGCCATCTGGAGAGGAGAGAAAAAAGGAAAAAAATTTTCTGGTTAATGCGAGGCGGTTAACGGGTCTGGGTACAGCCTAAGCAGAGGCTGGAACTCCCAGTGCTCGTATTGCACCCCCTTTTTTGTCAAGGCCACAGAATTGTTCTGTAACGTGTTGGGAAGTAGGGCCTAGCCCGGGGGCCAATCAGCCAGAATAAACGCCAAGCTGTCCCTGCCGGGCGAACCGGGGAAGGGACATGGCAAGCAACTAACTCCTTAGTTGGGGGGAGACTTAGGCAGGATTTCAAGGTATTTGAGCAGTCCCAGGATCTGCCCAGGAGTCAGGGAAACAATGCGGCCTACTGGTAGGCCTCTGATAAAAACCAATGACCCTGGGGCCGCAGGCAGAAGGGAATAATGTAAACTGAAACCAGGTCTGGATGCGGCCTACGGGAGGCCGGGAATCCCAACGCACGTTCCACGCCCCCCTTTTAGTCAAAAAAATTTTTTCTGTTTAAAATAGAGGTTTGGTACGAACCAGGGCCTAGCCCAGAGACCAATCAGCCAGAAAGGTGAACGCCAGGCAGCTACCCCTGCCGGACGGACCGGGGAAGGGGTGGGGGGGGGCAGAGCTGCTACTTCGCCTGCTGGGGAAAAAGGCTGCAGGGCCAACGGGCCCTATTTCTGCAGGAGGCCTGTTGGTAGAATGAAAGACAGGCTGAGACGAGGGAATCCCAGGCTGCCTAATAGTCAGTTAAGGCTGCGGCCTGTAAAAGGGCCTCTAGTAATGGCGGACGGCCATGCGGCCACTCCCAAGATAGCGGCCGTTCCAGGGCACACCCAAGATGGCGGCCGTTCCAGGGCACA